AGGCCAGCGGCTGGCGCCGTGTGTGGTACAAAAAGATGGTGGAGTACGAGGCTAAGCCGTTCGTGCCGCCGCCGCTGGATGCGCTCTACATTTTGGTGTAGTGAATTTATAACGAATAAAAATATTTTCTTTTAGTTTTGTATCAATGGTGGTGCTGCTCGCCTGTAAGTTTTGTTTAAAACTGAAGCGTTATAGGGCCATGTATGAATTGATATGAAGTTTTACTATCGCCTACGATATTTCACATTTGAATCTTTGTACCTGTTGAGAAACACATCTAGTCAGTGTTGAATCCTGACAAATAGTCAGTTACGGCCAAAAGTGACCGAGTCTGTTGTCCAATCCTACCGTTTTGAACGTGACGTCGCGCAAATTTTCGCATTCGGATGCCATTTTCGGAATCCTGTGGCAATTTGCAGCATTCCCACTATTATCATTATGAAAATTGGCCCAAATATTCGCTTAAATTAGATGCCGTACGGGGCACGACGACATTTAAGCCTGAAAATTCCCAAAAACCGTCGCAACCAAAACTCGAGTTAGCGCCGAAAACATTTTGTTTTTCCTCTAGTTTTTCATGCCTTTGACATGGAAAGACATTTTTTTTGACTTGTAGGAAGCCCTTTCAAATTCTTCACTCCTATATTCGCTCCTAATAAACAAATTTTTAATTACAGCCATCAATCTTTCGTCATTGAATGGTGCTCTGTTTATCCTTCTGTTTAGGCCCATGCTTGTGTTGCATAAAAGGCTGGGACTGGATCAAGCATTCGCTGTGCGGTTGTGGCGGATGTGTCCGTTGTTCGGGCAAAATTGAGAAGCTGAATAGATGGTATTTCTGGTAGGTTTTCTCCGACGGCGATATTTCTTGGACAAAAAATTCCCGCGCCGCGATCTCAACCCGTTATTTTATTAATATAGCTTTATTTGGGGAAATCGGTTTCGATATCGGATAATAATCCGTTGAATCCGAAACCTACTGTCCCAAATTTCAATCACAAATTTTCTAGCATTGACCCAAGGCACGTTCGAAAAAGGAACGCTGATGACGCGATGCGACTCTTCGAAAAACAACATTGGGAAGTCGTGAAACACATGATCGAAGGTAGTCTTGTAGGCGGACGGCCAGGTAAACAAACGGTTTTCAGAAGAAAATCTCTCGATTCTACTGAACCGCGACCAGGATCTGCAACTGACTCGGCTGTATATCGACCGAAGTCGAAAAATGCATCACCGATACCTATGCCTGAAAAATGAGATGGCTATCGATGATGGGGACGCAAATAAGGCGCATAATGGCGAACAATTCGTGAGGCTTGGCAAGGAAATCCAATTAGCCCCGCCTGAGAGACCGAAGATACTTTATGTCAAGTGGAACCAGAGGAAGCGGGAAGGTTATGTACGCTTAAATAAGAATCAACGCCTCCTGGTCGAGCGCCTAAAAAGAAAAAGTCCGCAGGTCGAGTCCAGCGCCAGCACGCGACAAGGAAAGCGGCAAAATCTTGATTGTCAAGTATGGGTCATCTTCCCATATGACATTCCTGGAAGATGGGTCGATGCAATTGACAATAAGAATGTTCCAGAAGCGAATACAGAAAAGGGCTTCTGGCGGTTGGAGCCGTTCAGAAAAATTGTCTTCAAAAGCAACGAACAGGATCCGAATGACAACGCGGTCGTGGCCGCGATACCACCTCCTCAAACACCTACGCCTCCCCCAAGGAAAGCCGAGCACGCATCAGAAAATAACTCGGGATCGTATGCGGCCGCCATCTCCGACGCGCCGTTGGCCGATGAGGAAAGCACGAGCGATCTTTGATTAGACTTGGACCAATACCATAATTGTTATCTTTTGCTGATGAATAAATTTGGAATATCGAGATGAGACTTAAACGCGATTGACGCAAACAAAACAGCAGAGCTACATTAAAAATTGCACAATTTTCAGTACTTTGGTTCCATGCGTTTGAGCAGTCAAGTGAGTATAGTTGCGTTTAGCACAAAAAAAATATCATGTGGCACAGAACTCGAATTTGCTTGGAACTATCGTGCAGCCAAGCGGTGGATTCTTTTCGTGCCTGCATCCGAAGGCGTTCGTTGAAGAAATAAGCCGAACAACGTAAAAAACGATGAAATTTTGTACAAAGCAATCCGGGAAGATGCCAAATGCCACCTTGTTGCTGTCATTTTCGTTTTTGTTTTCTCTTATTATTGTCGTTGTTGGTGAGCTCGTATGCGCCAGCGTTTCCGTCCTTTGATTAATCGTCCAGCATCCGGGGTTTAAACCTGGTCTCCGGTGAGTCAGGCTGTTGGCACTAATTTTTAAATGCAACAGAATTCCGAACAAGCGCTACTGATAAGCCTAGAAGGCCAAAAAGCGCCGGGTCGCTCGTCCGACTTTACGTTTTTTTCTGGCTGGTCCATCTGGTTACGCACGTCGCTTATGAAATTTGATTTCGGTTTTCAAAAGCGCCTCGCGGTTCACAGAGATTTTCTGCTTTCTAACCAAGCTGCACTAATTGTGAATTGGCTTTTTCTACGCGATCGATCCGATACATTTAGGGCTTGGACAGCTGCTGAATAATGCCAGTCGATCTTTTTTGGAAATTGATCTGGGTCCCACTTATCCTGTTACTTCTGATTTCAGGAGTAATCGTGATTCTGTGTTGTTGCTGTCGAGGGTCAGTTTTTACGTCATCAGTCGTATATCGTGAAAACCAGGGGTCCTACGTTTTAGTATACTGAAAGCGAAATAATATTCCGTGATGACATTCAGATTCCATCTCTGCAACAGGGATTCGCAGATGGCAAAGCGCAAGAAGAGAGCCTACCCTGAGATCAAAACAAATTACGCCGAGCTCACCGCATTACTGGGATGTCTTGAGAAAAAGGTCCCACTGTTTAAAGTTCTAGCTTCTGATCTTTAAACCCTGGAATGATCTGTATAGAAATCCGATCTGGAATAATGACTTTTAGAGCGGTCTTTCCGTCCGTCCAAATCCCAAAAAAGACCCGGGAAACACTAGCCAAGAGCCGATATCCGGCTTTTCGAACCCGGGATTTCTCGAACGCTATGGTATTGTGCAGTTTCACGGTAATTTTATCACGCACCTGCCATTAAATAATTCAGAGACCACTTCATGCTTTTCCATATTGTGGGCGAAATTTTTTTCCCAAGGAGAATCGAAGGAGAAAACCAACGAGTATGACTTTATTTGAGTAGGATTTGAACGCTTCTTGCAAGTCAATACAAATACATAAAAGAGCTGCATTTACAGCTCAAAAAAATCTCAGAAGTAAGGAAAGCAAAATCTATCTTTAGCCACACCGTGGAAGCAGGCTCACAACCACCACTATTGACTGTAAGTGCCGCGAAGTACTACAATTCTATTAGAGGAACATGTTATACGTTTAGTTATACAAATCTGCGAAAGGCGCGAACATTCTGAAGTTTCTCAACGAGGAGGTGTTCCTGGAGCACCTGGAATACGTGGGTCTTATATACCTTCGAAAATAAGGTTTTTCAGAACGGTCTAGAAAACTTGGCTGACCAGAAGTTGGCGCGACTTTTATGTTGTGCCCTCTACAAGTTGGAGCTTTGCATTTTCCGTGACCTTCGATGTTTAGCGACCCCAGCTGCTATCAGCTGTGGCAAAGATGCAAAGCCCCAATCTTTTCGGCTGTTCTTGTTGTGTCATTGTCGGAATATATGCGACGATTTTTTGCGAATCGGAGTTATGACGAGCTGGCAAATGCATATGATGCACAAAAGCGGTAGGCCCGACTCGGCACATTTTTTCTTCAAAGGGCGTCAGCATACTTCATCACTTTCAGCAGCTTCCTTTTTCTGAGCGAATCTATTTTGGAGATCTGCCACCAAAACGATTATGTGCTGACCCAGGAGTTGTTAGCGGAGCGTTACATGGCCTACCAAACAACGGGGGACCTTACCACAAAACTCTTAGACTTTATATACGAGTGCAAGGCGCGCGTATGTTAATTAAGCGTTCCAGTAATGATGTTTTCCTTTTAGAGCTTTTTTCAAAGTTCTGCTTGTCTTCAAGCTGTAGAAGCTAGGTGGCGACCGGGATACACCTGCTCCACCTTACGCCAGATATTACTTTCCTTGAGCCAGCTATGGATTTTCGTGTTCTTCTGGAAACTAGGAATCCAATTTAAGCAAGGTAGGTGGAGAAGCCTACGCGCTACGAACCTAATTTTCTGTAGTTTTTTAACGGATACGCAACCAGTTTTCAGACGCGCAAACACTGACCTCTTCCCGAAATCGAATCTTTAATCCTTGAAATTCAGACGAGAAACCTGAGCACCGTTTTGGGCCAAAAATCTGGGCAAACGTCCGGCATGGATGGCTCCGGTTTTGCATGTTTGCCCGTTCGCCAACCTACAAATATGTGTTGCACATGGTCAGGACTTTATATAAATGGACTCAAGCTTTGCAGATTTTTTATATGGCATACCTTGGCGCCTATGGATATTTTCTTTACGTGTCCCATGTCAAAGAGGATGGAGGAGACGCCGAGGTTAATTTGCTCCTAGGACTCCTAGCGTTCGTTCTCACAAGTATCACCGGCTTCCCGTAAATCTTTTGGCTACCGGATCTGAGCGACAAGGCCCCTTCCAATCCATTCCATTTATAGAAAAAAGAAGGAGTAGAAACCGATGATGGTTCAAAGAAGCGTTTCTGGGGAACTCTGATTTTGTGGTATGCCACTCTTGCCCTTTGCTTTTTGTATTTGCGGCAACCAATTTATGCTTCAGGTGTCAAATTTGCTACTTCTGGGAAATTAGCTACGAGTTTTTGCAAACCCATTATCGAATTCGACTTGTCAATGTGAGAATTGCGATTATTAACTACGGTAGTTTCTCATTTACAGAAACGCGCCAAGTTTCACGGAACTTATTTATGGTTCTTATGGCGCAAGCAGCGCTCGTATTTGGTCATCTCATCGTTGGCCTTCCTGAATTTAATTTTATTCGTGATTATGGGTCTCATCTCATCGGGCGCCCCATTCAAAGAAGAATTGGCGAAGGCGCTTCGAAACGCCAGGTTTTCCAGAGACCATCGCTTACTCAGTAAACGTATCTTAGCTCCCCTTCAATTCCTGAAAATGTCACGGTTGATTTTACCTATCCGTCACCATTACCGACCTGGTCAACCCGGTATGTTGTTGTTGTTCCTTTCTACAGTTGGGGGAAATGACAAAACCCTGGTCAGGTTACAGGTTGTCCCAAAAGAGGCCCATCCAGCGCTCCGTAGGAGTGTCCGATTTTAACGATTTTGGTATCTATCGAAAGCTCTCGAAAAGGGGAAGAGACTTGTTTTGCCCGATTTTTTAAAGTTGCCGTTGGGAAAGACGCAAAGACGTATAGCCAAACTTGTAGTTTAAAAAAATTCATCGGAAAGGCGTCAGAAATTCAGCCCGTTCCGCAAAAGCGCCATAACTTCGAAAATCGGATAGAATATAGCTCGGTAGCTCGTTGAAGATATGACGCTCCCACTGACAGCCAGTGCTGGTCTTGTTTTTCTTTGTCGGCTAGAAAAAAACCTTCATTTTTAGCCCGGCAGAGCCCGTAACAGCAAGCAAACTCGTGGAAAATTTGTAAGTTCTTATGGCTCTTTTTCACCAACGCTTTTTTCAATGGGAAGACCTTCACTTTTAGGGCACTTGTGGCGATCGACGTTTTGTTCTTTATTTGCTTTATTCTATCCTCTATCTTATTCCTTCGTGTGTTCAGCCTCTTCTCAACGTTTAGCTCAATCATTTTCTCGGTTAAAAACACGGTGGGACACCCATAAACGACCAATAATCTCCGGAAATTCCAGGCTCGAGACCTTTTTTGTGTTGCGCTGATCATGGCGGCACTTTGGATAACCTATGCTGCATCACAGGTAATAAATAAAATACCAAGTAACTTTGTTTGTTAGTATATACTTATGGGCGATGAGCCCGACAGCTGGCCGTTTCAATTCTTCAGGTAAGATGGATGTATCAGGTTGGAAAGAAAGTAATGGCACAAAATCTTTAAACCGCCGTAAAAATCCGCAGGAATGTCCGATTCGAAAGTTTGTTATATGCTTTGGTAGATCTTCGGATGCTCTATCACGAGACAACCCTCAAAACACACAAAAACTGACGGACGCGAAGATACAGGCCTCAGAAGTTTTGCAGAAAATTAGGTGAAAGCTTCCAAGCGAGATATCTCTGCATACAGGCATTTGGATACAATAGTTTTAAGACCAATCGATAGCCCTCGAGGAGTACAGGGTGGGCAAAAAAAAAAGTACAGAGTTTGGGTCGAAATATCTCGCTTATCTTTGAGAATCGAAGGTACGTTACCATGTCAGAATGCTTAAATATGCTGGGCATGAAGATTTAACACAACTTGATTTTTTCGATTTTTGGCGACGTATCAATACAAATGACACCCGAAAAATGTGCGTTCCGCTAAACTTCATTTGCATTTTTCTCAGTTTTCTGTGGTGACTGGCTTCTAATTTTTATTGAGTAAGTTAATGTGGGCAGCAGATATGCACCTACAAAATTTCAGAATTTTTGAGGGTCTGGTTGACAAGTTATAGAGGAATCAATTTTGTATGGGGAAATTTCGTAAATTTTTAATATTGGAAAAACCTATGGCGAAAACCTTGAAATCAGTTGTTGTTGAATACCTACAGGCTTGGCACAATCGCATAGACATATTAAAGAATTTTTTGAGATCGATGAATTTTCGAGTTTTTCAACGACCCCCTGGTCATGGATTTTTCGAGGTCACGAAACCGAACTTTAGAAAAATATTTTGAAATTTCCAAAGGGGACTCACCCATTTTATTTGCTTAACTATGTAATACTGGGGCTTATCTATCATCTACAAAATTTCGAGCTACCGTACCCCTTTGGAAGCGCGTCTTTTAGGGCCTCCAAAACGGTTGGTTCGTGCTTTTTTCCGAATATTGTCACCATTTTATAAAATTTAGTCGCGCTGTAAAAATTATGATTTTATTTTTATCTGATATAATTTAAATAGCGCATCCTAAAGCCTTATTCATGAATTTTTTTAACAAGCCGTTGGCGCCAAGAAAATTCATCAAAACCCGAAATAAACCGATTTGGAGGTTGCGTAAAAAAATTTTGGAAGGTGGAGTCGTAGGGATATTATGAGCAATAATGCAGCGCTATTATTTGAACAAAACTATGCAAAGACTAAAACAATTTCACGTCGCAAAAATTTTAAGAAGAATTTTAAACTTCGGTTTTAGAGCAGGGTGATTTTCCATTTTTGGCTGAAAGTTCCCATAATTTTGAATCAGATTGCTCCGGAATTCGACAAGCGTAAATAAAAACATCAAATATTTAATCGTATCCATAAGATCCAAGTCGTTTTTTTATTTTTAAAAATTCGAAAATTGACCCGGCTACTCGGACCAAAAATCGGCTCTCTGGCCTTGTTTTGCACTTGGCCTCGTAACTTTTTTATTTACCACCCAAAATCGGTAAGTTTTAATAGATTATCTTACAATCTCCTCTAGAAGGCCCTCGAATTGAAAAATCGTCATTTTATGGAATTTTATGATGGCATGCTAAAACGCGCTCCACGGGGTTACTGTAGAAAACCGAAATTCGCGATTTTCGTGGTGTTTTTGCCAAGGAATCGCTTTGATCTTTTCATAAAACTAATAGTATCAGTTTTTGGATCAATTGACCAAAAATTTACAAGATTCTGTGGCAGAATTAAAAACTCAGTTTTTAGGCTTTTTCATGAAAGTTTGTGGATAGTACGCTTTCGTATTTGGCAGGAAGATGCCCCTACTTATTGCCTAACAACTCAGAAAATTTCAGCCGAATCGAAGCCAGGGGCCCCGAGAAAAGCGGGAAAAACGAAACCTACAGTACCCCGCTGGGGCACGTTTTAGCAAGCAATATAAAAATACCATAGATTCTGGTGGAACCTGGTGTGGAATCCGAGATTAATATTTGGATAGGTCATTGACAAAATATCAGCCATAGGCAGTGAGTTTTAAGCGAGTTATGACTCAAAGAACAAAAATAACGAAAACTCGCGAAAATTGTTTTGCTTTTAAAAAATTAAATTGACCTCGATAAATTCTAAGATTTTGCCATTACATTTTTACAAATTCATACTATTTTTAGGCCAAAAATCAGAATTATCCCACCACCCGTTCAAGAACGCACAATTTTCGGTCGTAACCAGCGTCAATAGTACAGTTGCGTACTCAAAAATCGAAAAAATCAAGTTGTGTTAAATCTTCATGCCCAGCATATTTAAGCATTCTGGCATGGTAACGTACCTTCGATTCTCTACCGTTCACGAGTTATTTCGACCCAAACTCTGTACTTTTTTTTTTGCCCACCCTGTAGATATCGATAAATGTTGAGATCATCAAAATCGGACACTGGATGGCCGAGACATGCCCCCTAGAAATTTGGTCCACTTCTTGGAACTTTTCTCGAAATCCCATATATTGCCTGCGCGAGCCAAAAACTGTTGCGTTTGCTTGAGCTCCCGAACCAAAATCCAGAAAATGCATTGATTTTGGAAGGGGTTTTTACAGCGGTTTAAAGATTTTGTGCCATTACTTTCTTTCCAACCTGATACAATTTAAACTTGTTGTTTCAGGAATGGCGCGTGGGAAACTTTTGGCGAGCTAGAGGATACGCATAAACACGGTCGGTAAAAACCATTAAATTTCTTACTCAACGCATTCCAGGCAATCATTGCGTGGTGCCGAATAGCATATGGGATTATAAGTACAAAGATTGGCAGGTTTGTAAATGTCATTTTCTTGTAGGTTAAATTTTAGTGCGCGTCACAGGGCTGGCTTTTGCCGGTTATCATGTTCGTTTATACGCTAACGGCCTCAGTCGTTTTGATCAACATCTTGACGGCTGTGTTAAGGTATCAGTCTGCGTATGCTACTAAAAATATATCTCAGTAACGAGTTCGAAGAGGTAATCAAGACTGAGCATTGGCGGTGTGTCTGGTACAAGAAAATGGTGGAATACGAATACAAGCCCGTTTTCCCGCCTCCTTTTACTTTTCTTTTGATCATCGGGTTCGTGAACTTCCATCAAACTTTGAGGATTGATTTTTTTAGATACATTCCAATGGCGGTGATGTTGCTTTGTAGGTTTTGCTTGGTTGGATCTGAGACGCCAGTTTTTTCATAGCAACTTTCATCCTAATTAAGCTTTTATTGTTAGAAAATTACCAGCGATAGCCGCGGGATTTGCGTTGCGATTTCGCGCAAAGCTGTTTTTGCCCCTTATTACTTTATTGCCGGAACTGGCCCTTTAAAGGTCCTTCGGTGGGCTGCGTCGAAGCCTGGGATGGTTTCAAGAGGTGGATGGCGCTGTGCTGTGTGTCACCCTCTACCAAATCCGACGACCCATCGAACCCGTCAAAAGAAAGAGCAATAAAAACCCGGGCTTATTTTTGGTGAGCGATTGAATCGTCTGGTTCCTTATTTCTCTTTCTAAATTATGTCACATCCGAAATTTAGTATTGAACCCGAGGAAGAAATTCCGCTCACTCCGGTAAATAACGATGCGCCGGCCCCGCCGAGTCTCGCAAAGACGAAAAGTCAGATTCTGCGCGAGTTCGAAATGTTGGCTTGGAAGGAGGTGAAAGGAAGAATAACGGGTTCGTTTTCATTCGATTGTATAGTCGCTGTAGCATTTCGAAGTGACGGTATCAAAAATTGACAACGAATTTGTTTCGCGGACAAGGAATTTTTAGCAACCTCGCTGCTAATCGGCCGCGACTCCGATCGGGACCTAACGCTGGCGTACGTCAAACGAAGCCAAGAAATGCGGCACTGCTTCCTGTTTTTGAACAAGATCGCGGCAAACTACGACGAGGAATTTAGATCCAATGCTAAAGATATACCGGAGGGCCAAGAGTACCACGCCTGGGTGATCTCGCCGCAGAAGATTGCAGGACACTGGGAAAACGACCCCGATGGCCAAGAGGTTCAAGAGTTTGAAAAAGCTGATATCAACGAGAGGGATGGGTTCTGGCAGCTTCCGTATAAAAAGATTCGCTTCCGCCGCGCGCAGCCCCCAGCTGAACACAAGATTACCAATGTGGGTGAGCACAAGACCAAGTCATCGCCGCCCCAAGGTTTATGATTTATTATCACCACCAGAATTTCAGTACGAATAAATATGAATATGGGACCGGTTGAGCAGGGTTGCGCAACACAATTTTTTTAAACTATCTATCGAATACATGCGCTTATCATTGCTCGCATACAGTGTTTTTCAGTAGCGGTCAAGACATTCCTAGCACGATTTATTTACACCAACGCCTCAAGCACCTCAGTCATTTTTATCAACTGCTCATTGTAACGTCGGGAAGTAGAAAGATATTTCTCCAGGTAGCTTTCGAATTTGATGGCGGCGTTGACGATTGCTTCATTGACCTTGTCCCCAGCTGCATAGTCTTCTCTTCTACTCACTGATGCCAATGCAAGTCGATGAGCATTACCGAGGGCTTGAAAATTATCTCGGATCATGATATGGATTCCGTAGATATTCTTAGCCAATCCCTCGTGATGTCCATCAAGGTGGGCCCTGGTTTTGGCGGTTAGGTCGTTGAGTTCGGCAATGTAAAGAGGTTGAATCGTATGTCGGAGGTGATGTAGAGTCGTGCAAGTTCCACAACTCCTCTCATCACAGTCCGTACATTGGAACCCGTACTCGATCGGATCCATCCTTTTACATCTTTGGCAAGGCCGTACAGCTTGGTGCGGATTGAGAACAGGACGCCTTAGCAGTGGTGTATCTTCAGAACCAGACCATCGCTCCTGGATTTGACGAAGGGTTTGGACCAAAGTCTTGCTCTTCTTGGCTCGTAGTTCGGCACTCGATGTCGATGTCGTAGATCTCGAATGGCTCGATGTCGTGCTCAGCATGTTGCGTCACGGCGCAGAATCCGCACAGCGTTACCAAACATCCTTGACAGTGGACCATCTCTCCGAGCCAATCCTCACGTGGGCAATTGGAGCAACGGCGCACGGAGTCGAGACTTCGAAGCCGGGTGGCTTGTGCGGCGTCGGTGGAAACCTGAATCAAAATGCATTGGTAAGATCATTTTTTAATAGCGTTGGAGAGAAAGAGCCGTTCAGCGCGCTTGTTTGTTTTACAGCTGATGCGTTGCGCGATAAAGAATCTACCTCTAGCAAGCATTCGAGAGTAGGTTGCATTCTCGTACAAAAAGAACATAAAAATCGCCTTGAAAGCGTATTAAAACTTTTACAGCCCCTTAGCATTTGCTGGGTTTTTACAGTACGGTCAAAAATTTTATGTAGCGTGGGCGAGCTTATAAATCGGAGGACGATCAATTTTGCGAAAAACACGATTTCCAAATCAGCTTTTTCGAAAATCATTTTTCTCGAAAAGCGATGTTTGCGAAAATTATTTTGCAAGGACCAGAATTTCAGAAAATTGCCGTGTATTTCCATATCCTTTGCCGCCATGTCCTATCGACTGTTATACGTTAATTTGTCAAAATTCTGATTTTCCAAAATTTGACTTTTCGAAAACATGACTTTCGGAAGAGTGAGTTTCCAAAAATTATTAGTCTTCAAATCCGGCGAAAAGTTGCTAAAAAATTCTGAGCCGCAGCTACTAGAGTACTATTTTTCTAAAGCACGCTGCAAGGGGCGGGGGAAGCGTAGCTTTTTAATTATAGAATTATTGATCAAAATACGTAATCCCTACCTTAGCATACGCTTCATAAAACCGCATCAGCTCCCCCTCCGGTTCGGCTCGAGTCCCATATCCACACTCCAAACAACGACGTCGGCAGCCCTCACAGCTTAGGTGGCCGCAGGAGAGTACGATCAGATTCTCTGCCCCGAGACAGCTGCGACAATTCAGTGGAAAGAACCGACAGATCCAGAACCAGCTTCCGGTGTCTAGCTCGATTGGTGCGGAGGAGAGGAGCTCGGTGATGAATTCAGCTTTTTTCGCGGCTGTGGGCCCGCTGTATTGGACGCAGCGGGAACATCGGATGGTGCCGTTGCCCAGCATCATCGGGGTTCGGGATGCACTATTTCCTTTGCTGTATGGTAGCCAGCAACCGCTGCACGAGAGGAAGGGCAGCTCATTGCCGCGAGCGCCTCTGAAAGCGAGTTTTGCTTTGTCTTTTTAAAAAAACTAATGAAACATCGCTACCCGTTTGTACGTCGTACACTACTATTCGGTAAAAAATCTAAATGACTATGAGGCCGCCGGAAAATTGGCTAAAATTGAGAAAATTAGCCTGCGGAAGCGGAGATTTTTCGTCAATATCAAATTTTTTAACGCACGTGAATTACCTTCTAGGGCCTCCAGGTTTATGTAATCCTGGGGTTCTTGCGCCAATTTTCCAAAGTAAAAAGTGTTGGATGTTTTAAACCCCTGAAGATTCCAAAAGTTGAAGCAAAATCAAAAAATTCGATCTTTTAACCCATAAAAGGGACCAAGGCACGCCGCGCGCGGTTACGTCGCGACCTTGGTTGTCTATTTGGCATGATAAAAAAGGGTGCCGAAATCCTGTCTGAAATTTCCTTGCCTTCGTTTTTGGGGTTTCTGTGCTGCATAGACAAGTAGCGGCAGAAATGCGGCGAGGAATGCAAGTACGATCGGCAACTCCATGAGACATGCGAGGGCGGAAACTGAAATAAACTAAAAATAGATTCGTTAAGAAAATGGAAATTTCTAGATTTTTAGGGTATGGATCTGCCAAGGTAATCCAAAGTTGGACTGATACATCCTTATACCCTGTCATAACCCTCGCGTCAATAACATTGCGTCCAGATGTTTTTCGCGCACGCATTAATATCGAATCAGCGCACTAATAAATGGCGGAAATGAATTTAAAAAGCCGTCCATTAGGTTCCTTTTCACCCTCAAAAGTGAAAAGAGCCACGAAAATTGCGAAAAACAGAACTTTCCATTCCTTAATTACGCTTCATAATTAACATTGATTTCATTAAATTAAAAAAAACTTACTCATCTTTGTGTCGTCGTTGAGGCAGCTAAACTAGCAATATTTAATAAGCCGAATTATCAATAAAATCCTTCAAAACGACGGTAAATAGCGGTCAGGGATTGATTACGCGATTTATTGCGGCGGGAAATGTGTTCTCTTTTCGAAGAGATTGAAAGGGAGAAAGAAAGGGGGGAAACGGTGGGCAAGTCGCCGCTTTTCTGCAGGGCAGTGTTGACTAACTGATTCCACGTGTTGTTGTGTGACGCGAAAAGGGCCTGCTTTTACGCGGAAAGAGGAGCATATGAAATGAAGTTTGTAAAATCTCGGATGATAGTAGGCCTTTTAACGTATATTGAGCAGCAGAGATATTAAAAGGTCATAAAGGGATGCCATTTAGAAATTGAATTGTTGCTTGCAGGAATACACAGTCCCCCGTAGAGGATTTTTTTCAGATCCACAGAAAGCGTCTACAGCTTCTGAAGCTCCAAACCCACAGCTATCATAAAACTTTCCCGTTTAAGCGTAAAGTCTCGTACTCATACGTCATACTACGATATGTAAATCAAATTTAAGAATTTTATTTTAGGTCCACATCCGGCGTATCCGGCTTCTGCAGCTCGAAATCGTTTCTAAAACCCACGAGTTTTAAGCGTACAGTTTCGTATTCGTACGTAGCACTGTTTGTACTGTAATTAACTTTATTTTTTATCAGATCTGTGTTTTCTCCGGCTTTTGAAGCTTCAAGTAAAGCCTAAGTACCCTGTCAAGCGTACCGTCGCGTAGTGTATGTATTCCCCCCCTCCACAAATGGTGTGCGACGAGCTGGTGCTTGAAGTGTGGGGGGGGGGGGGGAGCTTAGGGATTGAGGGCAGCTGTGGGGATGAATGGACAAGAAGGGAGAGCGATCAAATCCATCCGGAAATTCGACTCGCTCCAACCTGACGCCCCATGCTAGGTGAAAAGTCCCCTACGGTTTACACTCCTCCGCTCATTTGCATATTTTACATATACGCTTTTAAGGGTCCAATTTAAAAATTCAAGGCTGTTTCAGCGCTTTTAAACGGCTGAACAATTGTTATAGTGGGTTTTTCAATTTTCAAAACATTTTTTTTTGTGTTTCGCAAAACGTCCGACTTTTTTTTTTTGAGGCATACTGTAGCTCCCGATTTAGCTAGCGTAATGACTTCGGAATCCGGAAACCCCCGTACTTCGATCATCTCGGTAACCCTGGACCCGAGGCAGCGGATGAGCGAGATGGAATTCTCATCCAAATCTTCGTCTACTGAAATGTCGATACCTCCAAGGTATGCGGTTATGCGATTTACAAATGCACTAAAATGCTCTTAAAACGCAATGTGATAATACTTAAAAACCAAGTTAAAGATCCAAAAGAAGTATTAAAAGTTTTTATTGTCGAATTTCTTCCTATTATATTATTACACCCGCATTAAATTATACCCAACATTGAAAAACATAAAATATTGGTGAGATCAATAGAATTTCTCCACATCCTGCCTCTCCTTCGAGTCCCATTTCCCAAAATCTTCCTTGTTTAGCACGGCGGTCCACGCGAATTTCTCGGCGACAATTTCTTTGGTCCATGTTTTGTTGTATTCTTGCTGAAACGGCATAAAAATTAAATTCAATCAAGTTAACATTCAATTTTGATGAAGTTTAAGAAGGTTTTGGTAAAGTTAAAGTTAAATTAACCTCAATAACTTCCTCTGCCCTGCAGGGCACATAGAAAATGTGTCCATGTAGCTCCGCGGAGCAGGTTTCTTCGAATAGCTCCCTAAATAATTTTTCGGGTCTGACATTTGGTTAATTTACGTGATTAAACTAAATAGCTTATCTTCAGAAAAATTAATTTTAATAGTTAAATTATCCCACCTTGGATACACGAATCGAACTCGTTTTAAATTTCCGTGTTGTGAGGCTATGTAAGTAATATTCTTGTCATCGTAGAGGAAAAATAAATCGACGGTGAAGCCCTCGATCTTGTGCTTTAGCGTGAATTCGAGGCTGTCCGGGAGCTGAAAAGGGTATTTTTGCGCGCTTTTACGTTTGCGCTGCTTTTGTGCCAGATAACCTTGTCTTCTAGAGATGTATCCTGAAGAATATCTGCTAGTCTGCCTATCCCACAAAACGCCTTCTCAAAGAATCTCTGCTAGGTTGCCTCCACCGTGCAGGGTGGCTCTCAAATAAACACTGCTAGCTAACCACCACCCGCTAGAGGAATCCTAAAAAATCTCTGCTAGCTTGCCTCTTCTTCTAGCCGTTTTAAAAGTGTTCCCAAAGAAACTTTGCTCGCCGGCCTACCTTAGAAGCCATTCAGAAATGATCTCTGCTATTTGGCCACCTGGTTTCAAAATACTTCTACCGAACTCTGCCGGCGCCCTCGACTTTTTAAAACCTTGAATAATTTTTGATGTTTATAAACATTAGGAATCCCCGTGTAGATACGCTAGACTCTCTAGACCAAAATTTGGCGGGCCAAGCTTTCCCGCGCCCGTTCTCGCAATCTTTGCCCGGCTGTATCAACACCGACAGGCTAGAATCTGCTATTTGCCCATCGCCCGAATTGGCCTTTAGTCTCGAGAAAAATGCGGAATTTTTCAATTTAAAGGGCAGACAATTATAGGTCAACTTTTAAACAGCTTGACAGTGATAGAAAATTTCTTACTTTTCCCAGCCGTCTCGTCAGCTGGAACGGATAAATATTAGTGCCGTTTTCGAGGTACGGCCAAAATTCGGGGTGAAATTCGGAGACTCTAAATGCTGAATTAGATCCTTTGTCTCTCTTGTTCTCTCTTGTTCTTTCTGTCCCTCTCTCTATCTCACACTCTCTCTCTCGCTCGATCTCGATCTCTCTCTCTCTCTCTCTCTCTCTCTCGCTATTACCGTATTGCAAAATCCATATCATTGGTGGATGGTAATATTGTACATTCTCGATACCAACCTAAATTCTGATAAAAATACTTTAGGTACTTTTTTTACCTAATAACGACCCAAAAATCAGCATTGGATTCATCCCAAATTTTTGCATTTTCCGCTGCAACTCCCAAATCTCGGGGACCCGGGATTTTGAAATCGTGCGGCCTCTGGCTAAAAGAAAAATGAGAGAGAGAGAGAGAGAGAGAGAGAGAGAGAGAGAGAGAGAGAAAGAGAAACAACTGGCCTACTTTCAAAATAAAGCCGGAGCGTCTCATTTTTAGAACCGATTGATCGATGCATATCTGCAAATTTGCATAAGTTTTCAACAGTTTTAATTAAATTTAAATAGACTTATATGTTTTAAATGTTATAAACACTTACTATAATTCTTGCACTTCACGACTTTGGACATGTTCCAGAATCTCAAAAATTCGGGAATATTTTTTGGGACCATCAATGCCTCAGTGGGATGCTTTTCAAATTCAATGAACCTAAAAAAACATGGGATTAAAAGTTATAATGTAAATTCTTGGACATACCTAGGTAATAATCTCTCCCCAAGCGCGAATTCTATATAATTTTCGCTAGTGATGTTCGAGAAATGGACATATGTATTTTTATAGGGATTGGCTAGAAATTGTGAGTTTTTAAAAGACAGGTGAACACATACACATCCTTCGAATTGGGCAGAATTCATCATAGGCCAGCCATAAGTGGCTCTGGTTTAATCGAATGTTGTTGGATTTGAGGGCTTTTTCATCTAAAATATGTATTAAGATGGACAGCGAGCGAAAAAGAAAAAGAGAGGGGAAGAGAGAGGGAGAGAGAAAGAGAAAGAGAAAGAGAGAGATATATAGAGAAACATAGAGAGCGATTAATCTATAAAACCTGGGGTCGTTCCATTAAAATTCTGATTTCACACCGCCTTTAAAGGAACGTGCAAGGCTGGTTTATGGATTTTCTTTCGTTCTGGATTCCGTATGTATTTTGTCGCACACGCGACGCGCAAGTCGCACTACGGCTTTGCATGGCATAAAGGGTTACGATCCCCGACATATGGACCAAGCGCAGCGTCCGCGTTGCGTGCCGCGGAGCGGTAAATCCATAGACAGTAGATTTAGTAAAAAATCCACCTCTACGTCTTGCCAGTCCCTTTCAAAACTAAATTTATAGACTTGCTAGTCCCTTTAAAACCCATCTAAGCCGCGAACGTTGAATTCCCATAATAAGAAATTCCGAAACCCACCTATCAACAGCGGATACGGACATATACGATCTTTCAAACTCTGCTCCGTCTCTGGCGTCGGTGTCACTTTTTCAAAAGCCACGAATATTTCTGGAGAATACACCATTAAGTATCCAAACACAGCCATGGCGATTATGATTAAAAATAAGAATATCTTCATAGCTCGCCCTTTCATCCTCCTAAAACGAGCCATAATTGAGACCAGGTGAAAGGAGAAAAGAGGTGTGAAGGGGCGGAGCCAAGAAAAAAATGTTGAGCAAAGCAAATATTTGAGGGAACACTGGCGTGGGAGGCTATTGAATCCATTATTTTTATAGCGTGGAATCCAGGAAAAAGCAATTTGTATCGAAAAGCCATAAAACAAAAAAGGGAACACGATGGATGGTTTTTCTTACTTTTGGGTTCGGGAAAATATGTTGGCAATGAAGCATTTGAAACTTTTTCTGGATTTATGCTTCTAAGGTAGATGCGGCGGAAAGAATAAAAATTCTAAGCTCGCATAGGTATTTAATTCTCCATCGGTTGAAGGTAACCTAGCTCTTTCTCTCTCTCTCTCCCTCTCTCTCCCTCCCACCCTCTCTCTCTCTCTCTCTCTCTCTCGGGGTCTCTCTCATCTTTCTATCACATGCGATACCAAGGTTTGGCTTTTCAGAAAAATATTAGACTTTTTCAAGAACAATTGGAACAATAGATGAAATTCGGTACTAGAAAAGCGCAAGCGGCGAGTAGCCATTGCTTGTCATCGCGTCTTCAAAAATGGAACGCTTAGAAAGCCTTGAAACTATACAAAACGAGGCTCCTATTAGCCTTTTTTCCGAACAAAAAGACCCGCGAAAAATGAGCTTCAAAAATGAGTTCCCCCGGGGGTAAATCCGATGAAACCGCCCGCAAAGCCAGGCATTTTTTTCTCGGCTTAATGCCTAGCAAAATGTACAAAAATAACACACGTGTATAAAAATGCCCATGATAAATCAAAGACCGTGTCTATTTGTGATGCTATAAATCGAAGTCGAGAAAGAGAAACCAAATTTCGTACGCAGCCTGGGCATTCTGATAAGGTGGAAACAGGGGAAAGAGCGTGACAGATCGCTGGATTATGCTAGGGGTGTGGTCCAAAGGGTTCGGGAATTCACTGATTACGTCCAAACGGAAGCTAAAAGGATTACCCAATAATACATTTTCAAAATTTTCGACATATGAGTCCGGATATGTCAATTGAAAAGAGAGACAGCGAGGAAGCGGGAGAGCAAGATGGGGGGAGAGTGAGGGAGATTGAGAGAGAGAGAGCGTGAGTGGGAGAGTGGGAGTGTGAGTGAGTGAGTAAGCGAGTGAGTGAGAGACAGAAAGGGACGGGTGAGAGAGAAACAACATCCGAGAGAGAGAAAGAGAGAGGGAGGGAAGAGATAGAGAGAGAGAAAGAGAGAGAGAGAAAGAGAGGGAGAGAGAGAGAGAGAGAGAGAGAGAGAGAGAGAGAGAGAGAGAGAGGCAGATCAAAAAACCCCACTGATGAGCGCCAATCCTGGAGGGCGAAACCAGCGACGTTAATCTTAAAAAAACTACGTTTTCATGGGTTAAAAATAATTTCTTTAATCGGTGAAAATTTACAAAAATTGGTGTGTTTTTCAGACCTCCAACCCCAGAGATCGCCCTGGCTGTTGTCGATTTCCTGCCGAGACCCACCGAACTGCTAGTGACATCTGGCCCGAGGAGGCTACCATTTAGAGAATTGCCACCATGTTTGGAAGGATACCAAAAATTAACAATTATTTATATTCAGTACCAGAAGAACTATCGCTGAGCTACGGCTCCTATCGACAGTCCGTTTTCGACCCCGTACTACTTGTCAGGGAAGAGAGAATGATTACTGAAACGAGCTGCCCCACTACTCCCTCGGAAGATTACCATGAGGAAGTGGTATCTAGAAAGTCGAGCCAACCATACCCGCATTATCCGATGGATCCGACTGCCTAGTGAGTAATTTTGAATACTACTTAAATCCACAGCGCCTGGCGAATTCAAACAACCAGACCTGCTTAATTTAAGAGCGTCAAATTTCCCGAAAGTCAATTGTTCGCGTTTTTTAGCATGTCATCAAGCAGCAACACGATACGCTTTACGGAGAGTGGTAAGTATCTTGTTCTTGCGGCAAATTATTATACTGTTGGAACGAGATCTGCTTTTGACAGTTCTGAATTATTTATGGAGTGGTGGAACTCTTTGAAGTTGCCTTCACGGCTACGGGGCACTAAAGCTCTTTGGTAACTTACACAATTCTTGATTGATCCTGGCTACAATGACGACCCTTGGATAAGATGTAGAATTTAAATTACGGAATATTATCTTTTCAAGAATTACATGTAAGCATGTGAAGCTTTAATACGCTGAAATTTCACCTTTCCTACATGTTTGCCATAAATAAGCCTGGGAAGGAATGAATTTCGACAAAATTCAAAATAAAATAAAATAAAAACTAAGGATATAGAATTTTGACATGGTGATAGACCCTGGTCACTCCATCTACTACAAAATCCATGGTCATGCGTTGCTCGTCCCTCTCCAACCCCCTGAATTTCCAGGCATGTCCCACTTCCTCAAGTTCGACCTCCCCTCAGTGTGCTCTGTCGTAGAAGCCGGCACCCTTGTCATTCTGATACTCTTCAGTTTCATCCTCATGTTCATCATCTATTATTTCGGTTTTGTTCAGAATTTATTCGACAATTAAATTGATGAAATGAGTTAATGGGGGGATGCAAATAAATATACAAAAAAACAAGGTAAAGAATACACAAAAAAACACAAATTGCGAATCCTGAGTTTGACAAGTGGAGGTAGATGTCCCAGACGAGTTTTTGAGATTGTTCAAAGTCACAAAAAATTAATGATTAGCATAAACCCCTGAGGAGTCTTGAGAAGAAGCGCGGAAAAATATACATATAGCAAAAGTAAAAATACAGCAATCAGGGGTACGGTAATATTCAAGAGGAAAACTCGAGGGGACGCACACGCACGGTTTTTTGGAGATTTTCTGGGGGCGCATTAATGGGAGGTGGGGTTAGGCGACGACAATTATTGGGCATTCAGAGGGACCAGTAATGGCAACGAAAGGATTTCCAAGACAAAAAATTAAATTAGAAGAATTAAAGGGACAGTGACAGGCAAGGGAAACGAAAAAATCAAAGAAAAATTGTCGAATCGATTTTTTTGAGTGAAAATGGGTTAAATGACACATTTGAATTTGCATTTTTGAAAAATGTGAAAGATTTGAGGCTCAACTAGATTCAGCGATCACAAATGGGAGCTTATTTACAGTAGGAAAGTCGAAAAATTGACAATTTCGTTTTAAAGGGCTTGTGAAGTCAAATCCGGCAGGATCTTTGAGTTGCCAAAACCTTTAAAATCTAAACTTTCGAAAATTGAAGGCAAAAGCGGCACTTAAAAACCACAAAAATTTTTTAAGGTTTTTAAAGCCAATTTTCCATAGATTCCAACCTTCACAAGACATTTAAACCCTAAAAAATGACAAATACAGTAACCGCCAAGCGGCAAAAATCGTGAAAGACTTCCGGATTGTCCGGTTAGCAGGGCGACGAGAACGGTATAGAGGGTTTTGAAAGAATCGATAATGGGGTGAAAGAACTGGATAATAATAACCTTTTTAAGGCCAAAAATACATTAGAAAATTGCAATTTACAAAGTAAAAAATTGATCGAATCGCAGGATAGTATTTTGGTATGGTAATTGATTGAGAAAGTATGGGATTTGATGGCTGAAAGCGCTGAGAATGATTGAGAAGAAAAATAGCAAAAAATCGCACAAAAAAAAACAACATAAAACTGCTATACGGACGACGAATCGGGGGAATTGGGAAATTTTTACATCGGGCAGGGTGGACAATTCGAGCTTGCAATCACTCGCTGTAACTAGCTTTGTATAGGCTGGGTTTTTAAAGGGACAGGGAACCCTAGAATTTGAATATTTTTTCCAGGGCTTCATTGGGTTGCCAGCTTGGAAAATTGGCAAGTCGCCAAACTGGGATTCTTCGGACGAAAGACGCTTCCGGGGTTCTTTAACGAGGTGGTTGACTCGGTGACGGCATCAAGAGGGTTTAGCCGTAATTAGGAATGGAGCGTGGTCGAGGTCGTCGGGGGTCAAAACTGAAAAAAATTGGTTTGGAAAAATACATATTTTTTGCTAGCTCTCACGCTCCCTCGCTCTCTTTCGCTGGCTGTCTCTCTCTCTATCTCTCTCTCGGTTCCTCTCTCTCCCGCTCCCTCTCCCGCTCTCTCCCGCACTCTCTCTCTCTCGCTTTCTCTGTCTCCATCTCCCTCTCCCTCCCTCTGCCCTCTCTCTCACCTGAAGCTGCGAGTTGAGATGCGCCAAGTACGCCTGCTGGAAAATCGAGAGCGGGCCCTCCATATTCGGCATTCTGGGCATCGGATGCGCCATCGTGGGCGGAGTACGCTGGGCTTCAGAATGCGCCGTCGACGGCGAGGATGACGGTTCAGCCACCAGACTCTGAAAAGCAAGGTTTTTCCAAGGTATGGTAACGGTTGGACCCCGAAAGCCATGAAAAACGAGTGTCACAGCACCTTTAAAAACACTCTAAACTTTAAAGGCACTGACCTCATCATCATTATTGTTGACCGGGCTGCCCTCGCTGCTGATGTGCGACGGGCTCTTGCCCTGGGATAGTCGGGCTGAGATCTCTTCCAGCTTCCGCTTCTTCCTCATCCGCCCCTGGCCAGCATCCTCCCCATCGGATGAATGCATTGGGGAGGAGGAGCAGCCGGAGGATTCGCCGCGCTCGGGGCTCAGATGGCCCTCGGATTCCTCTTTGACCTGGAACATTAAGGTTAAAATCACCGTCCGGAAATGAGCCCAAGCTCTTGTTGGATGGAGCAATATAGCCGTCATTCTTGAGGAAATTGCGCTTTTCCAGGGTGGGCAGACTAGCACAAAGCATTGAGGAACCGATTTAGGAAGAGGCAAGCTAGCAGAGACGCTTTAGGACTCCTTGACTTGGCAAGCTAGCAGAAACTCTTAGGGAACTCACCACATCAATCCCACTATCATGGCTATTCGGCGGCTTAATTGGCGCGGGCATCGTGGGGATGTGCAGTTGGGAGAGGAAGGGCGGCAGCACGGGCAATTGGTTGTTCGCCTGGCTGACCTGCTGGGCCAACAGGTTCAGGTTGAGGTGGGTCATGTTGTGGCGGATCATCTCTTCCTGGAAAAGAAAGGTAACAAAGTTCGTTTATCTTTCTCCCTCCCTCTCTCTCTCTCTCTCTCTCTCTCTCTCTCTCTCGCTCTCCCTCTTTCTCACCTGAGAACCAGTGGAGTACTCGCAGATGGTGCACTTCAACGGGATCGTTGGGGCCGACGGCATCTGGGAGAGTTGGGGGAAGTTTTGGAGGCCAGGAATGTTTTGCAGTTGCTGGAGGTTTTGAAGTCCTTGTAGTCCTTGCAATCCCGACAAGTTCGAGAGGTTCGACAGGTTCGTCAAGTTCGGGAGCAGGCCGTTGAGTTGGTCCAACTAAAAATGGGGACATTTAACAATATACTGGCGCCAATCAACCAGATAGCGAGAGAGGGAGAGACAAGCAGAAGGAAGGAGCACGAACTCACCGGGTTGTGCCTCAACAAGATGTTCAGCGGCCCGTTCGGGTTCGGGTAGTTGAGGTGCGATTGCTGGGGGAATGGGCTGAGGCCGAGGCTTTGAGCAAGAGTCGTTGGGGTCATCGGCGGGGGCTTCATCTCCACGCTGGGCGTCCCGTTTAAGCCGTTCAGGCCAACGCTTTCGGAGAGGCGCTGGAAGGCCGAGTCAGAGGAGCCGATCGTCTGAAAGTCAAAAGTTTAGTTTTTTGCTGAATGAGCATAGTATTAAATTGGATTAAATCATTATTTTAATTTTGTCTTAGTTCATTCATTTTAGTTTGTGTTTATTATTTTTGTTTTTGCATATTAGAACCTTGGCACTTTTTATTAGGTTTTCTTATCATAACCGGTCAATTTTCCACTTTTTACCTCCTTACAGGCTTCAAAAAATGGACTTTTAGGGCTTCAGACCAATTTTAGAATAAATTTTTAAGCTACCGTAGCCCCAAATGAATCCCTACCGTAACCTCGTGCTCATTTTTAGCGGATTTCCCCCCGGCTTCCCCGACCTGGCTACAGACCGTAAATCGCCCCGCGAGACTCCCATATTTAAATCCTCAATTTCATTGTTATTCCCACGAGGGCAATGTGGTCACGGCTTCATCACATCCGTCTTTCTCATTCTCTCATTCTCTCTCTCTCTCCTCTCTCTTCAATGGAAATCAGACACCAAGAAGCATCCCTTTCCTCGAAAAACAAGAGAATTTGGCCGAGGTGGGACCGCCCGCATTTCGAAGTCACGTTTTTTTTCAGACGAGATCTGGGTGGACGCTCCTTTCTTTAGGCTTTTTTACTACTCCTGAACGTGGCCAGGAGCGCGCAAAATAACACAAAGTGCACATGGCCCTCTGGGCAAATAGAAACGCGGAAAAAATGGGGCGGTGGGAGAGAGATCGCTAGAGAGACCCAACTATTTGAAGAACCTTTTTATCGGGGGCGCCACATAATTTTTTTCAGGTCTGCCGGAACCAACGGAAATCGGGTGGTCAGGCTGGGCTTTTTTGGCCTGGCACGTGGCCAATATTTACCCAAGGTTTTGATGGGTTTGTGAAATTTTTAGGAGACCGGAAGTAGGAGTGAACGGAAGAGTTCTTATTTAGCTCTTGAACACGCATTAATAGACGAAATACTCTGTGGTAAATCTAAGCCTAAGCCTAACTCCGCTCCCTACCTGTGGCGTCGACGGTGCCGGCTCGCCATCTTCAGCCCTCTTCCGGTGGTTGTACTTCCGCAGGTGCTGCTTCAGGGAATGACAGTACTTGGTGGCGTACGTGCAGTCGGCGCAGCGGAACTGGAAAGGAAAGGTGAAATTAAACAAGGAATACATACCTGATAAACGTTGTTGTGACTCTTCATATGCGAGTTCAGCATGCTCTTATTGACGCACATGTAGGCGCACTTCTCGCAGCGGAACGGCTTGGAGCCGAGGTGGTTTCGGATGTGGTACTCCTGAAGAGAAAAGAGATAGAATGAAGTATCGTAAGGTAATGTAAAATCCCGTAAAGTAACGTAGGTTTTCATAAAGTATCGTAAAGTATCGCATCGTAACGTACCAAGTGATGTTTGTACTCCGTGACGAACATGCACTGCGGGCAGTTCATCTGCTTGTCGCTGGGGATATGGGTACGGGCGTGGGTCCAGTGCTCGTCCTGAAAAGAAGAGGGTTAGAACGAGAGAGAGAGAGAGAGAGAGAGAGAGAGAGAGAAAAGGATAGTGAGAAAAAACTCAATAAAACACTAATCCCTACCTTTGTGATCGAGATATGCGGACACTGCTTGCATTTGTAGACCTTTTGCTTGCCGCTCCGCGTCCTTCCATTTGACGATCCCTCCGTTTTGGTCGGGGAGGCCTCCGATTTTTCCGGGGAGCCCAGGGTCATTGCCTGAAAAAATATGGATAAAAATAACCTTACAAATCATTATTAAGGCCAGCAAATCAAAATGAATAAATTTGTGCGGTTTGTGGCTGACTTTTTTGACATTTCGCAGCCAAACATCATCAAAAAAGGAGGAAAAAAGTTCAATAAATCAAAATCCGGAAGTTTTCTATTCGATAGCCGGTTTTAAGCAGATGACAAACCCAAAAATCATCAAAAAAATACAAAAATCAACATCTAAGACAAAAATCAATTAATTTTGTAGTTTATAATCGAATTTTTGGCACCTGGCCAGCCCAAAACTCATCAAAACACACGACCGGAAAAAATTGGAAAACCCGATATGGGCTGATCGAAGCCCGGGAGGAATTTTTTAAGAATTACCGGATGGGCGGCGGCGAGACAAGATAGCAGAAGCGGAAATAGAAAAGGGTGAGGGGGGCAAAACCCTAAAAAACGGTACGCACCGAGTGGTTCCCAAACTTGGCAAGGGCTACGAGAAGGGGGAAAGGAGTGATGGGAAACCGATAAAAGGGCAAGTAGCGGTTTGTGCCGGTAGGCTTCACCCCCCAAAAAAGAAGAGGAGGAGGTGGTGGAGAAGAAGCCCGAAGAGGTTTTGAGTCTTTTTTGATAGCCGCAAAAAGAGGGGGGAAGGTGAACAGTTCCGCTCAACGTGCAACGGTTTTTTGTAAAAATTGGGGTTTTTAAGGTGTTTTGATTACTGTATTTTAATTGTATCGTCTCGGAATAAAAGTCTAATGTTCTCAGCTACTTTATTCAGTTTCACAGTAACTTCAATAGGGTAAAACTGATGGAAAAAGCGTATTTCCGTATCTATACTACTTAAAAGCTAAGAGCTTCGAGTTTGCAAAACTAATTTTTTGGGAGAAATAAAGGAAAAATCCCGGTTAAATTTGCTTAGTTAAAATCTATCTAATCGCTATTGAAATTGAAAAATTCTAACTTTCTAGCTACCGTACCCCCGGAGCGTAGCGTAGCGCTCTGTCCAAACAACATAGAAATTCATGGGATGATTTTCAGAGCGTTTTTCCCGGCTACCGTAATCCGTGCCCCCTCTCTCTGTCATGCCTAGTAAATAAACTGCTACCGTAGCCCGCATCCGGAGATTAGCTGACTGACCACGCGAAAAACGCGAAAAATCGGGTGCAATGAAATGTTTTTCAGTTGCTCCAAAAAAACTGGCCATTTTCTAGGTCAAAGGGGCAAAAGAGTTTAAAAAAAGTGGTCGAAAAACAAACTAATCTCGGGAAACTACGAGAGAGGTTGCTAAAATTTGACTTAGGCACCGTAATCCCAAAATAACATTAAGCGTCGAGTTGCAAGTATGGAAAGTACTTGGAATTTTATAGAAAAGGGTAGGATACCGTAATCCGTAAAGTACAGTCGGTGGTGTTGCCTGAATTTTCCACTACTAGGAATTGCCAATAACAAAAGAAAGATTTTCAATGATTAGAACACGACAATACCGTAATCGCAAAATTACGAGGAAAATGTAAGTACGATTTTAAGCCGTGCCCCGGCTACCGTAACTTGAAAACCACTAAAAATAGGGCCAAAAGTGCATAGCAATTTCTAAGCCATGCCCGAATACCGTAACCATAAAAGTGCAAGAAACTTGAAACCGATCCTAAGCGCCGCCCCAGTACCGTAACCATGTAAAACGAAAGAAAAATATGCAGAAGTACGTTTCCTAAACCCCGCCCCCACTACCGTAACCTGCTAGCTAAATTCTCACCTGAGATACAGCTCCCAACGCAGTCGCCAGAGTTGGAGCATCGGGCATGGATGTATTTTCGGTGAAAGCCCGAATCTGATCCAATGCTGAAGCCGCAGAAGGGACTTGTTGATCATCTCCAAGCCCCAGCAGTTCCTCAAGCCCGAGCGCCGCCGCCAAGGATGTCGGCTGGGCAGTGGAAGTTGATGCTCCCGAGGTTCCAGCCTGAGAATTCACGGCTTGATTCACCGCCTCCATCAGGCTAGCCATCGTCGTTTGAAGCGTATTGTTATTGTCCGAGTCCAAGAACCCGGCCAGGCTCAGTGCTGGTGGAGTCTGAGCTCGAGAGCTTGAGCTCTGGAAGTTGAGCATGGGGATGTCGGCCTTTGGGAGTCCCAGGTTCTGGCTGAGCGCGAGTAGTTGATCAGCTTGGCTAGCTTGGGAGAAGCTGGATTGGCTTGAGGTGTCGAGCATGGGTTTGTGCTCCGTTGGTTCTTTAACAGCTTCCATCTCGACTCCCTTGGCCTTCCTCTCGGCCTCGGAGTGCGACTCGCGCATGTGCTTCTTCAGCCTGCCCTCGGTCCTGGAGGTGTAGTCGCACATCTGACATTGATGGTCGCCGTGGGTGTTCATGTGGGAGTTGAAGTGGAACTTGCTGGCGCACGAGAATGGGCATAGGGCGCATTGGAATTTGTTCTGGGGTCCGTTTTGAGGATGAGGATTTTGAGCCTGAGGTAGGAGGGGGAGGAATGGAGTGCCGTCGGAGTGGATGGGGCGAGGGCAGATGATGGAACCCTCGGCGCGGATCGGGGCTGGAGGGGTGGGGTTGATGAAGCTCTGGGAGGAGAAGTTGAGGAGGAGGCTTCTGAAAAATCTAAATTAGGCGGTTTTAGGGGTGTAATAGATGAATTTAGGTATTTCCCTCTTTCCATCTCTCTTGCTCTATCCTTCTCTTTCTTTCTCCCTCCCTCTCTCTCTCTCTCTCTCTCTCTCTCTCTCTCTTCAACTCACGATGCATCATCCTCCCTCGGCTCCTCAAGCTTCGGAATCTTTGGGCTTGGCTTGTCCTCTTCGTCCACAGAGTGCTTCCGGCGTTCCGGGGTTGTACAAACTACAAAAACTATCATCAGGTTCAAGCAGTTCAACTACCATTAGCGCTGCAACTGGCCGGCCTTGGGGGTAGGCAAATCGTGGGTTGGCGCAGGCTGGGTTCTTCACGAGTTCCGGTGGGTCGGGGTGGGGTTGAGAAGGGGTGATCAAGCTGAAAGTGTAAACATTAGAAACAGCACGATATAATACGCTAGAGTACGTTACACTGCGTGAAAGTACGCTACAGTACGCTGACATATAGTACGCAAGGGTACCTTCACTTGACTGAACACAAATTTTGGGAGAAGTAGGGTAGTTGAGGACATACCCCATCGTATAGTACTCCAGAGTACACTACGATACAGTACGCCAACGTATAGTACGCCACACTCCGTAACAGTACGCTATACTACGCTAAATTCCTCACCTCCATCCGGTGACCATCCTCATCGGAATCCGTGGCCGAATGGCTCTCGGTGAAGCTGGGGTGGCTGTGAGACTTCGTCTCTTCAGGACTGTAAATATTTGGTTTTAAGGGTTATTGAAGGCAAAATCGAGGTCGTATCTGATCAAGTATCTGAAATTTTTTTGCCTACCTCAACGATGAGCTGGGCTTCAAAAGTCGTCGAGCGCTGCTGCTGTCCTCCTTGCCGGACGAGGGCGAGCTGGGCAGAGGAGAGGTTTCGATGAGGAACGTCTGGAATTTTTAAAAGTTGTTAAACATTCATTCTTGCAAAAATTTCAAGCGAGCCCTCAAATTTCGACCACGCGCTTTTTTGTGTGTTTTTAATGCTATTTTTGGCACCCCCCACCTGCCCGCCCAAAAACTGATAAGCCGAGCTGATACGCCGGTTTTTGCTTGTTGTTTTTTCAGGGGTGTCATTTCGCTTCCGGTGATGTCATCTCGTATCGAAAGCTCGAAAAAAGAACGTGTGACTCATCAGGGCAGCCAATTTCCGGGAAAAGCCCCCCAAAGCCTCTCTTTGCAGCCCAAAAAAAGTGCAATTCCCAGGGGATTCCCCGGGAAAAGATCCGAATGGTTTTTTCCGGTGAGTCAATGGCGTCTCAAAATTAGCATGTGATTTTTGGGGGTATCGGTAGCCCATTAAAAAGCTTACCGGCTTGGGCTTCTGATCCTGATCGCGTTTCCGTTGCTCTTCCTTTTCCTTTTCCGCCTTCCAGATTTGCTCCCCTAACGTCGTGTTGTTATTGGCGGCGTGCCATTCGGAGACCTGAAAAAAAGCAAAATTAAGCATCTCACATGTGTTCTAGAGCTATCAAGCTCATTTTCAAGCAAAAAGCAAAAGATTCGAGCAGGATGAGATTCGAACTCACGCGGGAAAATCCCATTGGATTAGCAGTCCAACGCCTTAACCACTCGGCCACCTGCTCTCTGGGGGTGGCGTTCGGGGAGAGGGCCTTTGAGGGGGGCGAATCCGGGGGCGGGGAACTGGGGGATAATGGGCAATCATAAAGCATCGAACAAGAGGCCAAAAGGTTTATGCTAATTGTTCGATTTGGAGAGCAAAAACGGGGCGTAAATAGGTGTATTTTGTAACCAAGGAATTAATAAATTCCAGTAATTTTTGTAGCTTATTAAATTTTCGATTAAATTGGTATAATACATGCAAAAATATTTTTAAAAACTGTTTTTGCCTATTTTTGGCCTGGCCATTTTTATATACCTTTGAAAACGTCTCTACGAGGCTTAACATGGTAAAAATCGAAATTTAACAGTTTTCCAATTTTTTTTACCGAATCATACCTCAGAACCCCGTAAGTAAGTATCCAAACGTAGCATAAAATTAAATCCAATTCCTCTGGTATAATCGCCTTTTTCCGGGGCTTATCACTGTCATTGCTGAAAAATAGAACGCGACCTGGTACAGTATCCCCAAGATCCTCATTTCTCTCATTTCTTTTTTCCCAATTTTCCCATGGCTTAACAAACAGCTTGGGGTGCGGGATTCACCCCCTGTGTATTTTGGGGGTTTTCCCCCCAGCTGACCGACCGCATGCACTTGATGTTTTTATTGCGAAAAAGGTAGATGTGCCCCCCCCCCCTCTCTGCCACTCTCGCTGGCCCCTGTGGCTTGTTTTTTTTTAATCAAGTGTTTATACAAAACCCGCCCCCACCCGAATTCCAATTGACTTTCAATTTTTAGGGGGATCGTGAGCT